ACTTGGAATTATGTACTATGTCGAATGTCCATAAGTTTTGATATTATACCAAAATATATATGCACCAAACTAATAAACAGTTCTTAACACGGAAAAGAAATAAGCATAACTGAGTGTTGGCAATTATGGTCGATGGAATTGGGACGGTCGTCTCTCTTTTATGGTTGTTTAATGATGTCAAGCCCTTGTTAAATACAGGCATGTTTGCTGCTGCTTTAAAGCAACTCACGGCGCTAATGGTTTAAGATACAAATTTGCTGTAACAAGCAAAATAGTTTGAGATTACAACTGCTAATAACATTGTGTTCCTCACATAGATCATTATTAACAACATATACATGTTTTATACCTACATCTTTTAGATAGTAGTGTAACTTTCAATTGTTCTGTTAGCGTGTATAACATTGTACGTAATATTAGGTATTACTTAGAAGAAATAGTGGATTTTGGCACTTCGGAAGTTATTTAATTACAATATTCAATTAATTATTTTAGTTTAATATTTATATTGCACTATTACAATGATTAATGGGTATAAATAAGCATTGACTGGCGATAGTTAGTTTTTAAATATCGTTAGAGATATACAAATCAATATATATTAAGTTTATAATGTATTTATATAGTTCCTACTATATTGAATGGAAATAAACTTATTTCGTAAAAGAAATCGTTTTTTTTTGTTATATTATTCCCTCTTTATTAGCTGTCTATGTTCTGTTCTAGATAGAGGATGCAGTAGCACACCTAGAATTGTCCTCTGGGGGAGTTTTGGTTGGGCACCAATTTTTTTTATGCTACCTCCACCGTTTTAAGTCCTTAAAATTTGTAAATAACAGTGTCGGAATAGGATCCTGGGGGAGGGGGGGTTTGACCCCCCAAAACCCCCCCTGGTTGCGCCACTGAGAGGATGGACTGTGGATTAAGAGTTACAAAAAGAAAGAAGCGCTAAATTTGCTAAGCGCCTAAAATATGTTTTCCAAGCACATAGTCAATACGGTATACTCTGTTCACGGAACGCAGTCCCAACTGTCTAGTAAATTTAATAATCAAATTACTTTTCTAAATATTACGAGTTAAAACTGTTAAAATTCAGTAATACTTTGGTTGTGAAATAACTTCGATTAAAACAATGAAATAATGAAAATGAAATGAAATAAAAACAATTAAGCTTACTAGTAGTCGCAAGATTTTTTTTTACATTTATGCACAATCCAGGGACAGAAAAGTAAATTATGAAAACAGAGAAGTGTCCTGTTGTTTTAATAGTAATTATTAAAACGAGAGAGCTAATAACCCATAGATTCAACACAAGGGCAAAGGACTTGAATATGGTGATCTCTACACAGAAAAGTAAAACAATTGTAATCAGTAAAGAAGCAATTAGATGTAAACTGGAAATCGACGGTATCAGCATTGAGCAAGTAATGGAGACAAATTACCTAGGAATTACACTGTCTAGCTACGGAGATGTGGAGAAGGAAGTGAAAAATCAAGTACAAAAGGCTAATAAAATAGCAGGTTGTCTTAATAACACGATATGGCGCAATCCCCACATTAATACCGACGTGAAATCAAGAATCTACAAAGCAACAATAAGACCAATAATGACATACACCTCAGAGACAAGACCGGATACCTCCAAAACTCAGCAACTACTAGAAACAGCGGAGATGCGTTTACTGAGGAGAATTACAGGAAACACACTGAGGGTTCGAATGAAGAGTGAAGAGATCAGAAGAAAATGCAATATACCAGAAATAAAATGAGTGGACACTGAACAGAAAAAAGGAATGGAACGAACACATAAACAGAATGGAAGAGACCCGATTAGTCAGAATAGCGAGGGACAAATCACCAAAAGGTAGAAGAAGTATCGGGCGACCACGCAAAAGATGGAGTGATAACCTCCAATAGAGGCATTAATCGACATTGAACAAGCATTTTGCTTATGAAAAAGAAGAAGAAGAGAGAGCTAATAAAAGTTTCCCATGTACTGTTGTACCTTTACATTATTGCTTTTCATCATGAGTTTTTTAAAATTGGTATCAGGGGACACATTGATCTTGGGACCACTGATAATTGTGTTTAGTACATAGAATCGACTATACACAATAAAAAAAAACAAGTAAAACTTAGCAAACATTCTCTGATCTTTGGCTATTTTATATTATTTGAAAAATAATATTTGATTTTCCAATTTTGGGACAAAAATCTAATTTTACAAAAAGGACAGCTGCAATTTTGGTGAGAGTATTTTTGACAGTGTAAATTTTGGGGATAGCACTATAATTTTTAGAAATTCGAGCAACTCTGACCAGATTGCGTAATTAACTCATACTGGTAGTTTTGTAATTATAGAGCATTCTTTAAATGTAATAAGTTGCAAAATATATATTCTTTATAAACAATAAGTGGTATATTTCTTCTTGTATTTTAAATTATTTGTGTTCTAGTTTGATTTTACAGAGTAATTATTAATATTTTAGTTGTGACATCTATATATTTATGATCAAACTATTGGAGAATAAATTAATTTATTTTTAAGTTTGGACATTATTTCCTAGATGTCACACAAACAAAATAGAAAACTGGTTGCCTAATTAGTAGTAGCGTAGATTTGCCGGAAGAGAATACTTTAAGTATTATCACGTATTATTATCAGTAAAATATTTTTGGAGCAAAATGCAAAAATTATTTACTGAACTTCGAGATACCATATTATTAATTACCGTATTAAATATATAAACATGCCAATACTGCCAAACTGAAATATTTTTGACATTTGCGGCTATATTCAGCTTGTACTTTCGGTAAACTCCATGATACTCATCGATGATACTATAACAATATGTTTTGTTATATATATATATATATATATATATATATATATATATATATATTTATATATATATATATATTATATATATATATTTTAGTATCATGGGTAAACTCAACCTATATGATGTATTATTTAATGAGAAATACTTAAATATTAGTTAAAAATTAATTCTGAATTGGTACAGTCATGCATGTAATATTAAATTTATGAACGTAACATTAGCTAACATGAAACTATACTTTTAAATAAAATAATATTTGTTTTACAAACTGGTTATATTTTGGCGAATGGATTTAGTGTCCGCAGTCATTTAAACATAAACAAACAACAACAAGAAATTGGTTATACTTATTGTTTTTTAAAACCCCTAAATAATTGCACCTGTTAATAATGCAACCAGTAATACCTCACTGACATTTTTCATGGATTGTGTAAGGTTAAAGTATTCGCCAAAATTTAGACTGTCAAAACCATAGATAAATAATATAATGTCAAAACACTCTCACCAAAATTTTAACTGTCATTTTTATTAAATTGATAAAATTTACTTTGTACCATAATTTAGAAGTCCTAATTATTTTCATTTATTCGAATTCAGCATATTATGAAAAACAGAGTAATTGAACCAAGTTTTAACTCTACTAAATTTAGTAATTATTTGTTTGCTAGGTTGGACACATTTTGACTTGTATTAGAAGGCGCTTGCAGGTACTATTGTCAATTTCGACAAACTATAGGGGGCGCTTTGACAGATGATCACGCACGTTCACGTAGGAAAACAAAACAGATCTACCATAATCTTTGTAGGTGAATGATTGTTGTATCTAAAAATTATCCGTATTTATTATCTTCCATTTATTTTTTTGTTAACGCAATGGCACATAAAGAAATTGAAGATAGTCTGCTCCATATTTTGAAATATATAGGAGACACAAAAAGACCTTTAAAAGAAGGCGAGGCCTTGTTAAAGGCTGGCCACGTTGTGTTGTGTAGCAAATATATAACAAATTAGTCGGTTTGTATCTGAAAACGACTAATTTAAATGGTGCTCTACATGAAATCACAGTGGATGTGTTAAGAGACGAGTATGTGGTAAAATGCACTTGTAAAGCCCGCCAGGAAAGAATGTGCGTGTGTTTTATTATGCATTAGTCTAGCATTCGCCAGTTCCTCATTGATTTTTCTTTCGTGTTTTCCTTTAAGAAGGCATTGAGAGGGAATAACACTTTTCTTTGTTTCTTTTGCCCTGCTGCAGTTGTAATAGAAATTTTAATTAAGATCTTTGTTAGTGTATATATTTGATTATGTTAGGTAGGCATTATATATAATAAATGTTGCAATTCTGTTCAGCAAATTTACTTGAAAAAAAAAATCTGTCGATAAAAAATGTGAACACATGATCATATCACTTGATATCAATTTCCCAATTTTTAATTCCTGTGCCCAACGATCTTGTAGATTTTTGCCACGAGGAAAAAAGTGCATAGTTATTCCTTCCGATCGATAACTACTGCATTGCCGTGCAGAACAATACTGTTTACATTTACTTTTTAACATGTTGTTACCTTATTGTGCTTTCTTTAATAATATTTAAAATGTTTATAACTATGTTATGTCTGTATAACTAAATACAAAATGTTTTGTTATCCTACGTGCACTAGTTCAAATTTTTACCGCACCGTGCCGCCTCTTTCGTTTGACATCGCCAATACAACCAAGTATTCATAGGTAATACAAATTGAATTTTAAAAAAGTATACACATTTAGTTTACTAACAAAATCAAACTGCATCAACTAAAACGAAGTTTTAAATGTTAATTTTTTAGACATTTATAGATTTGCATTTACAAATATAAAGTTTTTAATTAAAATGAATGAATACACTCTTTCAGTGTTGATAATTTTTTCCCTTTTTAATTAAAGAAGTCTTCAAAAGCAAGTCTATTTCAGCTATTAATAAGGTAAGGTGGGAATTTATGTGGGAAGTTAAGCAAGTTCACTAGAGGTGTATTTTGATCTGTGTCTTCTACCATTATGATTTTAATTGAGACATCAAGTTTTTACTTCTCATCACTTCTACACGTATAGGCCGTTGATCATTTTCTTGGTTCATTCGCTTTTTGGCATTAATTTATTTAGGAATATTAACATAATAGTAAAATTTTCTATATATTTATTGACTCAATAATAGTAACTATACAGATGCATTGGTATCGTAACACACCTAATTTAAATCAAACTGCATATACTTTCTAAAGTAGGCAACTTTAAAATGTAAACAGCCTTAAAAAACAAACAAAAAATTCAAAACTCAAACGTAGTATTAAAAAATAATTTGATAAAATAGGATTACAGAATACAGACAAATATAATCGCAATCCATCAATTATTTAATATTCTACACATTTACTGCATAAATAAATGTTCGGCTGATGGTAACGGGGCCAATCCATCTGTGACGTTGGGCAATTGCGTCAAATCTGGTAAACTTCGTATGTGCTTTTGTAATTCCATCATCGCGTTCATCACCTTCGACTGCTTTGCTTGATATTCCTAAAAAAAAATAGATCAACTTCTTAAGAAAAGCGAGTAAACCCATTATTTATATAATTATTAAAAAATATTTCGCCCATTATCCCAAGATAAAAGTTTCATCCAGAGTTTCTGAAGAATCTCTTTGTGATACCGCAAGAAAAACCTGTGAGACACTGAATAGAATTAGACATGTTGTACCAATTTTGGAGGAGCTTCCTAATAAAACGTCTGAATTAACATGATGATGATGCAATAGATGCGACGACCCAATAGGCTTACACACCCGATATTATAACATTTTATAATTCCACAAAATGAGAAAAGGGAATTTTTGAGTAACACGTTCTTTACACAGATCACTCATTGTAGGGGTTTGAAAAGAGGATCTTGCCATGTTATGCAATTATGTACTATTTTTCGAGAAACATGGCGGCCTGAAATTGGCCAAAGGTAGTACTGTCATCTAAAACTCGCAAGGTAGCACTGTCATCCAAAAATGGTGAGAGAAACTTAATAGTACTTTTTATTATTTTGCAAGATTTACTCAAACAAGTTTATTTCTGAGCTAAAGTGCTCAGCTTGAATTATCTTTGAAAGAATCTTCAACGTATTTGAATTAGTTATTTCTACACTGCTCAATGATCCATACAACTTATCGCTACTTGGTTTGAAAGTTTGAAAAAATGTCTATTATACAAAAAACTCTTATTGTCATTTGTAGTACTTGGAAGGTTTTGATTTCAGAAAATTCTGTTTCTTCAAAAACAGAAGGCCATTTCACTGATGAATATGAAAGCTAGCCTGGATCATTTCACCATAAGATAGATGAAATTAATGAAGTTGAATAGATCTGCAGGACTCTAAGATGAATTCACATTGTACCAATTTGCACATAAAGTTTTGCTATGAATTTCAGATATTCTGTTGGCAACAAATGTTTTTAGTGAAGAAGATGACATGTTTATCCAACCTTAGATTATTGTGGAATCTTTCCAATGGAATATGCTACTAAACAGTATTATGAGGATCTTTTGAATATGACGACAGAATTTGGCAGCTATAAGAGCACTCGAGGAATTTACGATTCGAGGAAAAATACGTTTTAAAGGCAAAGAGAGCAGTTTTAGTAATTTTTGTATTTTGCCGCAAATAAAGTAGATTTTTATAAAGGTGTTAAATAAATAAACATATATATTTATTTAACACCTTTATAAACGTACATATTTTATACAAAGTTACACGAAGAGTTCAAATAACGACTTCCGGTTCTATTTCCGGTCACGTTTCGTAAAAACCTAGGACTTATGAAGTCTAATTACTTATTTGATTACTGTTTTAATACAAGAACATCAAATTAATCCTCAGAAGCATTTTCAGTAGTCCTTTAAATCTTTGGTTAACAAGATAACCTCATATAGAACAACAAATTATGTAAAATTGAAAATCAGATCTCTTAGAAAATATAGGAAACATGGAGAATTTTAAAACAGGTTAAAAATGTTATACCAAACTCGTTTATTATACTTACATCTAAGGTTACATGAGCTTGCTGCAGCAATTCTTTTTGGACATACAAGAAATCTGTCATCATCACTGATACCCTTTTTCTATGTTCCATCTCACAAAGTAACCTACTATTGTATTCACTTAGTAATTGGACAGCCTCTGTCACTTGTTTGCTTAATTTTTCAGCAGTTTCCTTATCTGTAAAATAATATAAAATCTTATATAATTCTAAAAATCAAACAGGAGTAGGATGTACTATTACAAATTATCTAGTAATTACTATTTAAATGGGAATAAGCCACAATTAAAGGTTAAAATACGTTTATTAACGTTTCAATTTCCAAAGAGAAAAAATCAAAAAAGCGGCTCTAATTATGCTAAATGAGACCAATTGTGTCGCAAATTCCTCGGCAGAATGTAGTAGGATCTGGTTACCCATATTGAAAGAGGAAGTTATTAAAAAGAAAATACCAGTATTAGTAAGTCAGTAACATATGGAGGATACCTAATTTATGTTTTTTAAATAACAAACATATGTTACGTAAAAAAATATATGAGTCATATTAAAAAAACCGTAAACATATCTATTACTAATATTCTGTTCATTCACGATTTTTCTAGGTATTACCTACCTGACAGACGATAGGTGCCGTTTCGTTATAAAAACAACCAGTCTAGGTTCCAGTTCATTCGAGGCAATTCATGTCAACATCCATGGGATTCTCTTTTTACTCGAGAAGTTTATATTTACCGGCAGTTTATATTTAAATAGAAATTTTGTGGTAAAGAGGATCAGTTAGTAAGAAGATAAATTCGCGCTCGCGTATTTAAATGTACGATCGTATTAATAAATTGTTGTAAGATAAATTATTTTAAATAAACTTTAAGTAAATTAAGTTTGTGTTATAAATATTGAACCTTAAGTAAATTAAATTAAGAACAATAAATTAGAATTAAAAAAACATTATACATATAAAATCAAAATTTGGTGTACTGAAACTAAATGCACGACCAAATACTTACCATGTCGAGATAGTATTATGAGGATTTTTTCCTGGTTTTCCCTCATAATTTACTATGGAATCACTAACAGGAGAATTTTGCTGTCATCATGGCATGTGTTTGTCTTTTTAAAGACGAATTACATGCTATGATTTTTTCTGACGGATATTCTCAAGTTAAAGTTGATTTCATGTAATCAAATGAACTATCTTATAAGTAAAGTCGTCCCAGGAGCGCAACTTAACAATATTGGCAGTATCATTTTAAAGTCGTCTACTTTAAAATGTATAATGTATGTCTGAATTGTCAATATAAATGAGTCAGATAAAATTAAATTGTTAGAAGAATTTTTTTCACTAAGTAACAAAAAAAAACAAAATTTGTTTAATTTACTAATGTTTGTATTTTGAGAACGATTTCCGAAGTGGAAACTGAAACGTCAATAAAGGTATTTTAACCTTTAATTGTGGCTTATTCTCATTAAATAGTAATTACTTTAAAATTCCACAAGAAAATAGCTTCAGAACAATACTAAAAATTATCTAGTTTTAGTAACATATTTTCAGCTGAACTGAATGCTTGATATAATATTCTTCAACTTATTATGATGGGTAAAATCGAAGGACGCAGAGGAATTGGTAGAAAGCAGGCCTCTTGGTTGAAGAATATCAGGGAGTGGACAGGAATAAGGAAAGCTGAGCAACTATTTAGAATAGCTCGAGACAGAGACAGTTTCGCCATGTTAATCGCCAACGTCAAGGGGACTTGATAGGGCACGTTAAGAAGAAGAAAAACTGTGATAATAACAGACTGCAGATCTGCAATATATGCAATTACAAACACAGATTTCAATTCATACAAATCTACAATTTTATGTAAATAAAAAATAATTTCTATAAAATGAAAGTGGTATGTATAAAGGTAAAAGGAAATGCTGGTATAATAGGTAATAAGAAAATGGACTCGTTGGTCAAATATGAAATGAGGCTATCAATTCTAACGACCTAAAGTTTTAAAGCAAAACCGGCCTAACCAACATTTCCATATATTACAGAATATATCGCTCTAGCAGGTCGATTGCGCATCATAGAAAATGTGGAGTTGTGGATTACACCAAAATTGTTCAGTACATAAATAGGTAAAAGAATACAAAAAAGGGCTAATAGCCAATATTATCAGCCACTGCACCGGTATGCATATACCAAGCCAGTTCTGTTAACGTTACATTTGATATTACCACAGTTTCTAACCAATTCCTTTAAACAATAAACTCTTCTAATCATTTTTAAGTTGTATGCTTTTCTGAGACAAAATCCAAAATGTACTAACTCACCTTGTATTTTAGATATCAGAGATACCTCTGACACTTCTCTCGGTAATTTAGCTATTCTCTCTCTAACCACTTCATCAGACGACGCAATATTTACTTCTAAATCTTGAATGGCCTTTATTAATTCTTCTGGTTCTGGAGGATCGCCAGCAGGTGTGTGAGGACTTAACTGTATGTGTGTTTCGATTGAACCATCAGAATGCTGAAATTAAAAAGTGAGCTTTAAAACATTTTATGGATTCAAATTTTTACAGAAATCTAATACATAGAAAAACACACAGATTACCCATAAGATACCGAATATCTCTTTTCAGCATGGTTCAAGTTAGTTAAGATATAAAAGATTCTCTTGGAAAACACTGTAAAATAAGAAAGTCATTTCTTCATGTGGTGCCGTATCCAAATGTTACGTAGGTATAGTCGGTTCGCTATATTTACGCGGGTTTCGGATTAAAAATTTTATTGTAAGTACCCAGTTTTAATTACCTGCTCTTTGGGGAAATATCAACTGGTCAAATGAAATGAAAAATAATCCATAACTTTTTTTAATTAAATAATAATGGAAAATCTTTTATATAATTGACAGTATAATAAGGAGAATTACTTCATTAATGGAGTCTAATGTGGCTAATATAAACCTAATAATAATTTTATATTACACTTCGCACAGAAAATATGGTCTATGTATATTTGTTCCATGGAGAGAATTTCTAATGAAAAATAAAAAAATTTAACTTGCCAACAAAAATGAAAATCAGTCATTATCATCAAAAATATCATAATCGTCATCATCATCACTGTCATCACCATTAATTGTTATTATGATTGGACTTATTTCGTTTATTTTATTTTCACGAGTCCACCAATCTTCTATTAGTTTCTCGCACTTGAATATACAGTTGCACCACACTTCTGGAGTTACAATTGAAAGTGCCTTTTCGCCAAGTTTCCCGAACTGCGTCGTCGCTATAACCGTTAGGCCCAATATGGTTGTCATAATATTGTTTTGCTATTCCCCATATATATTCGATGGGACTTAAACTGGCAATGATACGGTGGCAGACGTAAAACTTGATGACCGTAACTTTCAATAATCTGATCCACAACAAAGGTTTTTGGTTTTGCGTGGATATTTGCCAAGCGTAATAATTCTGATTTTAAAATATGTTGTGTAAATGGTATATGTTCCTTTGTCAACCATTCTTTAATTTTATTAACAGTCCAAGAATTCGTTGGACTTTTGTTTAATACTTCAGAATGGTAAGGTGCATTGTCTAAAATAATTACGCTGGGCTCACTTAAACCTGGGAGAAGTTTTTCATGTAACCATTTTACAAACATTTCTGTGTTCATATTATCGTGATAGTCACTTGATTTTGATTTAGATGAAAATATTAAATCAGCACCTTCTATAAAACCCGATTTCCCTCCTGCATGTAAAATTATGTGTCGCTTCCCTTCTCCATCAGTATGTTTGATAGACTTTACGTTATCATCTTGCCATATTCTCTTGGTTGCACCCCTAGAAAATATCCATGTTTCGTCTAAATATATAAAATTTGCCCTTTCTTCTTTTAATTTAGAATATTTTCTTAGAAAGTTAATTCTTTTATGCACAACAGAACTTCTTTCACAAAGGGCTTTTCTGTTATCCTCCTTTTGAAATTTGAAACCCAAATTATGTATCACTTGCCATAGACTTGTTCTGCCAATTTCGTCAAATTTTCTATCTTTTAATTCCGAGAGAATTGTATTTAAGGTCACATGTTCCTTGTTGGCTCGCATTCGATAAATGGTATCACGAATTTCAAATTTTTTTCCATCTGGAATATCTTTCGTTTTCAATGATAGGCGAGTTTTTCGGTGATCTTCTTTCGGCCGTTCATTATTGCGATTTTGTAATACTCCTCTTAGTTTGGTTTCACTAATTCCTAGAGCATCACATACGCGTTGTTGAACAGACATTACCGATTTTAAAGGACCGCCATTTTCTTTTTCATCCGTAAAATACTTATGTACACTACAAATTAGACTATCTACATCTAACACACGTCTAGGCATTTTTAAATATTTCCACCAAACATACAATGTCAACACTGGCAAAGAATCAATTCAACTGCAATATTGTAACAAATTTATACCTACCCTAATGTTATTTTAATGTATTTTAAAATATGACCATTAATGCAGTTTTTACCTAATTTTCTGGGAAGTCGTTTACTGCAACTGGTTATCAATGAGTCATTAGCATAATTTTGTTAATCCGAAACCCGCGTAAATATAGCGAACCGACTATAGTGTGTCATTAAGTACACAAAAGTACACTTATTTATACAATCTTATATTATTTATTTTCTATTTTTTTTTTATAACTGTGAAAACACTCTTTGGAATAGAGATTGAAAAGTCAGTAAATCAAACAGTTGAATAAATATATAGTGGCTTATTACCAACATTATTCCCAAAAATACAGAATGCCACAAGCAAAAAGCTATAGAAAAAAAATATAACTATTATTTGCCCTCCAGGAGTTAATGAATAGAATCACAGAAGTGAGTCAGAGATATGGACTTTCACTGAACATTAAGAAAACAAAATGTATGATGATCTCAGTGTAACTAGTCAACCAATAAAAAGAGTAAAAACATACAGCTACTTTGGTACGAACGTCAATGAAAATTGGGACCATCCTCTAGAAATAAAATCTAGAATAGAGACAGCAGGATCTGCATTTCAAAAAAATGCCACGATTTTTTTTTTTTGGAGGAGGAAATCTTCAAAAGACCGTCAGAGTAGACCGCAGCACCACAAGGAGGTGGTGTGCTGCTCCTCTACCCCGGTGTGTGGGATTCAGTCCGCTTTCCCAATTCAGACACCGTAATGCCGAGCGAAACAATCGTGAGAACGCAACTGCCCACACACTAAAACCCCCTCGTTCCAGCCGCGAACACCCGTATTTTTAGCAAATGCTACTTCGGTTGCCCCGCTGCTGTCCCTATCTCTACTCCATGTCGGGGAAGCCGACTGTGAGGAGTAGTCATTCTTTTTGTTCCATAAGTAAAACATTGAGTACTGTGTACAATAAAAAGTATGGAAAAAATTAATATTAAATGAAACATAAGTGTAAATAACTAGGATAAAGTCAGATAAGATGAACATGTCTGTTTTCGTGAAACAGTGTAGAGATAAAAGTGTATAGATACAGGATGTATAAGCAAAATAAGGGATAAAATATCCTTGATAATGTCTTCTGTCACTCTCATCTCCCATCTTGTCTCGCTCTCTCGCGCGATTCCATTTCTTTTATTATCTCTGTTATTAGGTCTACTATCACGTTGAAGTTATCTTTGCTTTGCATGGCTACATTCATTATAGTCTCTGGTATTGTCTCTCCTAGTTTTGCTCTCATATCTTGTTGTTTATCTTGGAAAACGTTGCAATGGAATACGCAATGCTCTGCGTCGTCGCACACTCCGCATTCTATACATAAGTCATCTTCAGTTTTCCTTATGCGATATGTGTAGGACCTGAAAGAGCCGTGTCCGGTCAGGAATTGAGTAAAAAAGTTATTTGTTCTTTTAAACCTACATTGATACCACTGTTTCACGTCTGGAATTAGTTTCTTCGTCCACTGTGCTTTTTCTGTCTGTGTCTCCCATTCTTGTTGCCATTCGTTTAGCATTTGTTCCCTTACCTCGGCTTTGACCCCTATTAGGTGGCCGTTTACACTGTCCTAAATGATCTTACGTTCCTTCGCTAGGAGGTGGATGGGGAGCGTACCCGCAATCACCTGTAGGGCTATCGTTGATGTAGTCCGGTACGCACTTACTACTTTCAAGAGGGGTTTTCTTTGAGCTCTTGTTAATAATTCCTTAAATTTTTTGGAACTCAACACTTCAAGCCATACAGGTGCCCCATATAGGAGGGTGGATTGTACTACCTGGAGATACATTTTTCTTTTATAGGTACTTGGTCCACCTATATTTGGCATAATCTTTGTCATAGCAGCGATTCTCTGTTCAGCCTTCTGAACTACATTTATAAGGTGTTTCGTGTATCTCAAACCCGAATCAAGGTGTATGCCCAGATATTTAGCACAGTTACTCGGTTCTATAATACTACCATTTAAATCAAAACTCAAAGTTGGTCTCTGTCTTGGTCCCTTTAGTACTACTATATCTGTTTTGCTACTTGCCAACTCTAGGTCATTCTCTATCATCCACCTGTTGACTTTTCTGTAACAACTTGTCACTTTATCTTCAATATCCCCATTTAAGTTAGCTTCTATTAGGATTGCAAGGTCGTCTACATATGCTATGGCGTAGGTGTCCTGACCATAGTCTATTTCTAATACCCCGTTGTACAGTACATTCCATAGGGTAGGTCCCATAACGGACCCTTGCGGTACTTCTGATGAGAGTTTCACGTCTGCATTATGTGCTATATTCAAGTATCTGTTTGTCAGGTATTTATTTATAATATTTATAATGTATTCTGATACTCCTGCTTCTTCGAGCTTCGTTAGTATGTGATGCCAATTTGCAGAGTTGAAGGCGTTCTTCACGTCGAACATCACGAGAATGGCCCATCTTTTTTCCGATCTTTTTACAGTGTCAGAGATCTTCTTCACCGCATCTATAGCCGATCTGGCTTTTCTAAAACCGTACTGTCTATCTGAAATTTTTCCCAGCACTTCGAGCTCTTCTTCAAGACGTTTCTTTATAAGGCTTTCATAGAATTTTCCTATGCAATCTAGTAAGCACAGAGGTCTATATGAATTGGCTTCATCCGGGTTCTTTTCCGGGTTTTGGTAATAATACGAGTCTCGCCAATTTCAGTTTATCTGGGAACTCTTGCGTACTCAACAGTTCATTGAATATTCTGCGCATCAGTTCGGGTTTCTCTTTTACTACCAGTTTTATTGCTTCTGGCGTTACTTTATCCGGGCCTGGTGCTTTTCCTGCCTTTATACTTTCTGTTGCTACTTAGGCATAGTCAGTAATTCTTGTTTCACTTGCGATTTTTACTGTTTATATAGACAATATACTTGTTGTGTATGTGGACAATAATTGTTTCGCGTTGTGTGTTAGACTGTTTTAAAATGAGTGAAATGTGCGTAAACGTAAGTAAAAGTTAATGGAACAGAGACTATAAGCTCTGGAAAGATTGGATAAAGGAGAATCCATGCAAAGTTTTTGAAGAGATTTAAACATGGGAATAAGTACAATCAACGACTGGCGGCGTAATAGAAAAACTACCGAAGGTTTTTGTACATAGATTGAAACTGAAAAAGTTCTACAAAAGCGTTGCACATTGAGAAAAGCAAAACACGAATTGGTGGAAGATGCTCTGTGTTATTTGATTTAAAGTCAGCAAAGAGAGGATAATGGTTCGCCTTGTATTCAAATGCCTCGAGACCCACAAGATACCCCTATTTATCCTTGGCACAGCAGCAAAACCGAGAGAGTTTAAGAACATAAACATGGAAACTCTATCAGTATACAACATCAATTGTACAATATTTTTAAACTATTTTGTAGTTTTAAAATATATGTAAACTATTATAAGCAACATCATAATAATAAAACTTGACCACCTATATTGGATCTGTGCTGCATTTAATGTAAATAAAGATATTATATTAATTTTTATTGTAAACAACTTTCAAAATAAAACTTATGGTATAGCCAGTTTATACTAAATGGTTTGCAAACTTTTGCAAAGGGACTTAATCGCTGTGACAAGACAATTGATCATGCAACTTCATGATTCTTTCTTGTGTAATTGAATATATTAGAGAACTTGATAGAGAGTGCTTTTTAATTGTAGGTAAATAAAGATGTTATATTTTTATAAGATAAGCAGGTATCAAATTATAACTGTTAGACTTGATACTTTATTTTGTTACTTCTAACTAAACTTTATTACTTCAAACATCATGTGTAATTAATTGAAAATAATATAAAACCTCATTCATATCGAGCATTTTTTGTTTATTAACTACAAATTCCTTTTGTTTGTTTTAAGTTTATTGTATACAAAAGTATAGCCTTTTTTATCTATCGAGACAGTACAAAGTCAGGTTACAAGAAAATAGCTTCAGAAAAATATTCATTTAAATACTTACCTCCACAATCTTTTCAGCGTCAAATTTCTTTCGTTCTTTATTCTTCTCAATTACTTTTACTTTCTTAGTAGGTGGTTCATTTTCCTCAGGTGATGAAGCTAAAAAATAAATCAAATTAGAAAAAATGTAGTTTTTTTATAACCATCAAGGAGAGTATTTTGTTCTGTTTATAAAATTGGAACTTTATTGGTTGGGGACGCATTTAGAGTCCAGAGAAATAAGCATTTCTCAGTACTTCACAATAGCATATTCTTCCGTTAAGATATATCAAATTTGGCAAGTTTAATGAGGTTGTTATCATCAAAAGTAGGGAAATAAACATTGGTTTCGGAATAAAGAATATTGAAATCATATTGAAAGAAATTAGTTTCAGCTGGGGTTTCTAAATAGGAAAAAACATTAGAAAATACTATAGCTAAAGTTGGAGAATTTTTGTTATGCCATCATTTGTCAACTAAGACACAGATATGTCGAATGAATATTTTTTTGCAACAGGTAGGTTTGATTATTTCCTTGACTTTTAAGGATAAACTTTTCAAGTAAAAAAAGACATCTTAAATGCAAGAGAGGTTCCATACATTCGACTAATAGATTTTCAGTAGGTATATGCAGTACACCTACTTGTCAGTAGTATGTGCTGCAAAGCCTGTGAAATTCCAAAATCATGGAAAAGTTAGATATTGGAAATGTTTAAGTCGCTATTGACACCTTAACCGGATTCAGCAACAGGGTTACGCAATTGAACTGTTACCAACTTCACATTGATATATCTGGCAAATCGATAATGACAGCTATGTCAAAGTTGGCCTGATAACACTTCAGTATATTTTTTATAAGCCGTCAAAAGCATTTGCATTTAAGTTTCATACATACAACAAAAGTTATTCGCAATGTAATTTAAACGTAATAGTGTGATTGCGTTATATTGGGCTGGAAAATCACAACCAGCTATTGTTCGTTAGCTCAAATACCTCAACGTAAATAAAATGTTTGTGTATTGCACCATAACTCGTTATAATGATACTGGTAACTTTGCCAAATGCTATGGTGGTGGCCGAAAAAAAAAACAGCAACATCACCAGAAATGGTTCGGAAAGTGAAGGCTCGACTTGAGCGAAATGGTAGTGGTAATCAAATGGCCAAAGAACTGAAAAGATCCCAGCAAAGCATGCAACGAATATTAAAAAAGGAGCTCAAGAAGAATGGTTAAAAAAAACCATGTTTTTCACTTCATTTCATCCACACAATAGCTTTCGAATTCGCCAGATGCAAATCCAATGGACTATTCCATCTGGTCCATATTGGAGAGCAAGGTGAGGACTAAAAAATATGCCAGTATGGATGCGCTGAAGAAAGCAATTATATGTGAATGGGCCAAAATACCAGAAGTTCACATTTGTGCAGCATGCAACTCGTTTTTGATAATTTGAAGGCCATAGTCAAGGCAAAAGGTGGCCACATTGAGCTAAAGTGAGTGAATTCTGAAATTTTGATTATTTTCACACATTGTTGTCATTTGAATCAATAAAAAATAATTTCACACAAAAAAATTATGGTCTTTGAATAGGTAACAGTTCAATTGCGTAACCCTGTACTATAGATACTCCACTATTTTTCATATTTTTATTGTTTTGCTTTCTTATTTTTATATTTTGTTTATTAAGCTACATTTTTGTTTTTGTTTCAACAATAAAAATCATTTTTTTAACTATTTTATTTAAATTATACTGTATCTAGCAATACTCTACCTTCTTTCTCCCCTGGAGGGAAAACTATAATATATATTAAAAAAGACATGCACTTAATTTTTGGATCAAACAAATTACCCTAATTAGAATTTTTTAGATATTTTGGACCCCTTAAGAAAAAAAAAATGTTTAGAGTTAAGATTATAGTCAATTATAATTTCATTTTAGAATTTTTTGAAAATGACTTCAGGATTGTTAATCAAAATGTAATTCTCATAAAATTCTAACTTTAGGAGTACATAGAGAACTTTTCCAAGATGAAAGAGGTGAAATGCAGAAAATACAAGAATTTAATCCTGTAGAGAGACAGATGATTACGACAGATGAAATCAAATATGCTATATAAAACTTAAAAAAGACAATAAGACAGCTGGATTAGATGAAATACCAGCAGAACTGTTAAAATTAGTGGAAGAGGATAACTTGAAAGTATTGGCTGATTAATTCAACAGAGTGTACGATACGGGAATAATACCACAAGAGTGGCTAAACTCAGCATTTATAACCAACCCTAAAAACAAGCAACAAAAGAGTGCTCTGATTATCGAACACTGAGCCTCATGAGTCATACTTTAAAAGTACTGCTTTAAAAGTAATACATAAGAGAATATACAAAAGGCTAGAGAATGGGTACTGAAGAATGACTATATGCCATCAACATATTAATTCAGCAATGTCGGGATGTAAACATTGATCTACACTTGTGCTTTGTTGACTAAGACAAAGCTTTTGATAAAGTAAGACATAAAAAACTAATATCAATACTTATGAACAAGCACATTGAACTAGTTCAAATTGATGGGCAACACTCAGAAGAAATGAAGATCTGTAGAGGAATTAGACAGGGATGTGTTTTATCGCTACTTTTGTTTAACTCATATTCTGAAGAAATTTTCCAAAACACGCTCAATAATATCAAAGTGGGAGTTACTGTTAACGGAAAATTAATTAACAACTTACGATATGCAGGCGACACTGTGATCATAGCAACGAGTATAGAATACAAGTACAACATCTTATTGAAAGCTTAAGTATGTATAGTGCTGAGATGGAAATTACTATAAACAGTAAAAAAAACCAAGTACATGCTAATTACAAAAAGACCACAAAATATACATCACCTATTGACAATTAATGGTAATGTGATAGAACAAGTAGAAAAGTATCAGTACTTGAGAACTTTGATCAATGAAACCAATGATCATACTGCACAAATAAACAGGCAAATAGAGATTGCCAGAACAGCATTTATACAAATGAAGCCACTCCATACAAAAATCTAAATTTGGTAATCAGACTACATACCATTCGCTGTTATATATTTTCAATATTATTATATGGAGCTGAGACTTGGACATTAAAAAAATGCAATTTAAAAAGAATCCAGGCTTTTGAACTCTGGTTATACCTCAGAGTATTAAAAATATCATGGACTGATAGAATTATAAATAAAGAAGTACTGGAGAGGGTTGGTCAAGAAACAAAACTAATCACCACTATACAAACCAGAAAACTGGAATACCTAGGCCACATGATGAGAGGACCAAATTATGAAATTTTGAGACTTACAATACAGGGAAAGATTCAAGAAAAAGATCTGTTGGCCGAAGGCAGAACTCATGGTTGAAGAATCTATGTGATTGGTATTAATGCAGATTGATTGATTTGTTTAGAGACACCAAGTTCAAAAATAAAAATAGCCATTATGTTTGCCAACCTCCCAAAGAAGAAGAAGATTAATTAATATCTAACTTAAAAATGTCACAAGGAAACAGTTTCAGAACCTAGTTGAAGGATGAGATATAAACAATTTTCAAATAAGTGAGGAGTCCACCATCCATTTTTTGATAATAATGGTTGACGCTGGACATAGGTTCATGTTTATATGAACCTGTGTAAAATGTTCTTATAGTATGAATATCAACTAATCTATTCAAGATTTTAGATATGTTTATACGTTCAAAATCTTTAAAAATATTATTGCATATAAGTGCATGTCAAAAAAGAAAAGTTAAGTTGTACTTTTTTGCAGTGAGCAGGCAACATATAAATATCCTTATTGTAAATATAGTATAAAAACAAACATTACATACCCATTGTTCTTTTGAATTCTAGTATGAGCTTATTATCATATATTCCCCTCTCATCCCATATATTTATCAATCTATTCAGACTATTTTTAGTTCTTGTATCACTTTTAGACATGTGCTCAAAAGCTTTGTTGAGGTGTAAACTAAATTCTTGTCCATATTCTGGCCCTTTTTTCCTGCTGTTTTGAATAACATCATTTGCAAGATACATGAAAGTTAGTTTTTTTGAATCTTTGGCTACAAATAAAGTTAAAAGTAAGTTATATGAAATATAAGTATAACAGTTTAAAAGTAGTTTACCTTTAATCAATTCTCGAAACCAGATTTTTACAACTGTGCTGTAATGTTTCCTATGATGAATTAACCACAAACTGACTGTTTGTATACTTTGCGAAGAGTTGTTTAAATCAGATAATTTTTTAATAAAGGCAGTTTCTGTAAAACCTCCTGCCATTATGAAAAAATATCTCCTGGCTGTCGATAAAGGAATAACTTTTCTAACTAGTAAATAAAAGTAAATATAACCATCACATCAAATACACCTGATGAAATATTAAGTCCAGTTTTTATACATGTAATCTGTGTTAATACACCTGTGTATAAGATACAAACCACGACATTATTATACTATTAGTAGTTTAAACGTACTACAGAAAAATACAACTATTTTAAGAGTATGTAATCTCTTTGACAACAAATATTTCAAACCTGCATAACGCATGCATTTAAAAGAAATTCTTACGATTGACAGCCGACAAGTGACATTTGATTGACAGGATGACAGGAATATAAACGTTGTAATTGTTTGACATTAGCATTTGGTGGTTTTGAAGTTTTGTAGCGGTTAAGGTGGTGTTGTGTATATAATTTTACTAGATCATATAATTAAGGTAAATAATTTACAATAACATAAAGGTAATTAAGGAAACATTCTACTGAAGATAAAAAACAATAAACCATTTCTTTAATTTCGTTTCGGGGGCGTTTGAAATTCAATCTTTGACAGATGTCAAGTTTAATGAACATTTTCTCTTATAAATACTAATTTATTTAATTAAAGAGTTTATTACTGGTTTGTCGTATACTTACTAAGTTTAGTGTTTACTTTTTAAGATGTGGTGAAAGTGTCAAATGCTTCCAAACACGAATTGTAAATACTGGAATGTAGGTCTGTGTTACATCTTGAAGAGTTAGAATATTCGTAAATGGGATGAATGAAGAGGATCTTCTTAAAAGGTCAGCTGAAGAGCGAGAAAAAATATTTAAGAGGTATGAGCAAGGTAGAGAAGGAGCAGAAATTGATCCTTGGGAAGACCCTGGTTTTGAGGTCTATCATACCACTGACAGGTAAGGCATTAGAATGTATGTAAACTTTGAATGGCTTTTATGTACCGTGTTTCTAGATATGGCTTTATTCATGATAAACGGTTACCATCGAAAGTGGATCCACAAGAAGCCAAGAGACTTCAGATTGAAGTAGAAAGGCAGAAAAAATGGCTGAAAATGCTCAAGAATTGGGATAGTCCTGCAAGTAAAGAAAAAGTACATTCTAGAGTTTATAAAGGTATCCCCAATTCTCTTAGAACTGAAGCTTGGTGCAAATTATTAGAGGTAAGTGTATATGTTTGTCTTAATCATTAGTATTTTAAAGGTAGCCATCAATTGTGTTTCAAAATATTAATGGGCTTATGATAAAATATTGTTACCAACATCAATATAATGTCCCGATTTTTTATTTGGTTATCTGGTGCCATTTGTTTGTTGATTATGTACTGATGTTTTTGTATTCTGATTCACTTTGTTTCTTATTGATTATAGGGGTACAGTCTATAGGAGATGCTTACTGTAACATTACAGACATCCTTTTATTTGGTTTATAAATTTGAAAACTAATAACTTAGCTGACTCTATAGTTTTTAAATATTAATTCAGCTGTTTTAGCAGTGTCTTCATCTATTTTTGTACTTATTACATACATATGGAGACATGAACTTTTAATCCTTAGTTTATTTTTATATCCAGTTGGCTAATGTATTCCTGGTTATACTATTTGACATCCAAAAGTAAGGTTTATGTAGGAGTTACAAAAGAAAACATCATTCATGCATGTGTTTATGTGCATTTAAAAATATTTACTAGTTGAACAGGAGTTAGTTGTTCAATTTTTAGCTTTAAATTTGCGTAGTTTGAGGTCCTAGAGGTTTTGATCTGTTAAAAGAACTTATAGAGAGCTTTAGACAGCACATGTTATTTTGTAGATTCCAGCTAACTGAACATACTTAACTTTAGAAGATCCTTGTGAGAATATTTATGTATAAACACAGTTTCATTTAAGTGTATAAATTGTACTGCGTAACAAACAATGGAATTTTCAGTGTCAAGAAGACTTATTTTGAGTTGTTGAATGCTGTGTTCAGTGTTCGTTATAATAAGGATTTGAGAATATAATAAAGCACTTATACAAGGAAGAATATAGTTGTAAGTGCTTTGCAATGTAATGTACTTACAAGTTCTTAATGCTGAAAAATTAATTATATTTTTATAACCCTAATAAACTAATAATTATTAAAACCTGTTATAATAATTATCTATTATTATTTTTGTTAATTTCTGGAAACTGGTAGAGAACAAATTATATTTAGAAAATAACTTGGAAACATTATTTAACTGGTTAATTGGTTGTCTCTGCAGATTGAAATGATTAGTATGTAAAAATTAAAACATATATATTTTGGTCGATAAATCAGAACACCTATCCCATTCTGGAATAATAATGTACTAGATAGATAATGTCCTAAATGTTTCCTGTACTTGGTTTTCATCATTTTTACAAAGTTATTATCTCTTGCCAACTTGACTTATTATGATTCAGTATTTCAATTGTTATTTTTTTTTTTTCACACTGTAATATAGTCCCTAATACAATTTAGGTTGTTAGGTTGATTGTGCTTCTTTCTGCATTAGTTTAGAAGCTAGAAGGTTTGTAAGATGGCTGTGGCTTACAGAGAAAAAAATCTTTCTGTGTGGTACATTTATATTTTTGCAGGATATGACAATATGGCTATTGCTAAGGAAATATTTTTAGAAAGACATGGATATGTGTTATGTAGTTAGTTTAAGGGGTTTCATATGTCTCATATTTTCAAAAAATTGATTTATTTTTATTCCTCTATGAAAGTATAGTAACTTCAAGAGTGAGACTTCACACCAAAATTGAAGTAAATTCAGCAATATTACTGGAGTTATAGAGATTTGAATACCGCGCAGTTGGAACATGCACTCTCAGTTTAAAAACTTCAAATGTTTTTTTCTCGAAACTTTGTTTTTTCCGTATGGTAGGCCCATTTCTCAACAACAAACTGACTGATTTTGCTGATTCTATGCACAGTTTATCTTTATAGTACTGTTTTGTGATTTAACAAAAGAAGAAATTGAAAAAATAATGTTTTAGTTAAATAAAAGTTTTGACATAAGTTTGAATGAATTTCTGTCTTATATTTTTTTAGCATTTTTCTGATTCCACATCAGGTGTATAAAACAACAATGAGTCGTCTGATTAAAAATCACTTTGTTCAATCACGAAACAATATTATAAAGTTGAACTGTGCAAAGTTTCAGCAAAATCGGACTATTAATTCTCGAGAAATATGTGCCAACAATCACAGAAAAACAAAGTTTCGAGAAAAACATGTTTGGAGTTTTTAAAATAAGAGCATATGTACCGACCACACGGTATTCAAAACTCTATAACTCTATAAACTCTGAAGTACTATACAGGAATAAAAAAAAATAAATCGATTTTTTGAAAATACAAGACCTACGTAACCCCTTAAGCTAAGTACCTGTTATAGCAAGATATCTCGCCATATTCAACATTATACCATATTTCAGTGTATTAAATACATTCTTCAATTCTAACAGGATTAGTTCTCATATGTCTACTTTATTATTATGTTCAACATGCTGGTTACTAGGCCCAATGTGGCTGAAGTTGTACTGCTAATATTTTTAAATATTCCACTTGAAATCAAAATTTGTTCTTATTTAAATATTTCACAATTCACCACAAGTTTCTATAATTTTGGAAAGAAGAAAAGAGTGAGATTGGTCTATAATTATCCAGTGATGGTGTGTGTTGTCCTTTGAGTAGTGGAATAACTAAATGAAAGTTTGAATGCATTAAAGTATAACTTGCTGTAAAAAGTTCATTTTGCGAGGGTACAAATTATATCACAGTGTGGTTTTATTTTTATGTGCTTTAACTTTTGTAAATTTCAGCAATTTAAGTTTCTCAATATTACGATAAAAAACCATAAGTCCAGCCTGTTAGAACATGTTATGTAACTTCTATTAGCCATAGCTTGCTCCAGCTCTTACATACTGGAATTCACGAGTCTAAAATTAAGATGTTATTATGAAATAATCATTTATTTATGTACTTATTAAACGGAGAAACTCTTTTTCCCACCATTGTTCAAATCATAGTTAGTGATGTGTGAAGAAACATCAAAACAAACAAGTATTTTCTATAACACTATTAGATATTTTAAATGAGAACATGAAGATGGCAACCAATATTGCCAGATAACAGCTTAAACTGGTTTCACGTTTCTTCCTCATTGTTTCTTTCTAGCGTCCTCTCTACATATTTCTTGACTGTTCTCCACTGATCTGACGATCTCTCCTCCAATATTTCTTTAATTTATTGTAGCTGGCCGTGCAGCTCTCTGCCATGCAGGCCTCTCTCGCCATCCATCTATCACATGATACCCAACAGAGTATTTGTTACTCAGTGCTATTTTATATTACAAGTATTTACATATTCTACCTTCCCGAAACTTGGTATCCTGAAGCATTTATGTCCTGTATCTGCTACAGGAAGTAATCCTAAACCTTTATGTTCTTCTCTAGCTTTCATTTTGACTCGAAAGTTACATCTAAGTTTTTCATGCCTTTTTTTCAAAACTACACACATTCCAACCATTGTTGGACCAACTGTCTGCATTTTTTTGTCCACGAACGTCTGTTACCAGGGAATTTCATTGTTGGGATTACAAACTTGGGTTTTGACCTGGATGTTAATCTTCCATTTGGCCTCGGAGATCACGGCGAAATCGTGAACTAACCTAGTCATCTTCATATTCATTACAGAACTTTCAACACACACGCTCTTTCAAAGTTATTTTTTACCATTCAGTAGCCTCCTACCCTGCTTTCCTCTTCATTTCTTGCCTTTCTGATGACTCCCTTAAACTTAAGATACCAAGTCAATGTCAATTTCTGTCTTCCTCAAGGTGAGGCACCTTACTGTGTTGCTTTGGCTACTGGGATTGCCCATGACTCCATCCCATACTTTCAGCATACTTCTCTTGTTTCTTCTTCGCCATTTTTAATGATATTCTTGTCTGGTTACCCTGACTTGGTTTATTACAACTGTCGTTTTCTCTCTCCTTTTTCCTTAACTCCTATACAATTTTTGTTCACCATTTTTTTTGTTCCAGTCTTTCACTTTAGTTTGGTAATTATAACCGAATCTTTCTTATTTATGGCTACTAATTGTCTATTTTTTCTTATTTTACCATATATTTTGCTGTCAGCTTTGCCACCCAATATAGAAGTTTATTTTATTTCCCCGCTTCTAGTACTGCTGATCGCCTCTATTCCTCCAACAAAGAGTACCAAATCATCTTCTTCTTCGTGATCACTTATCTCCATAGCGTCTACATTCGTTATAACATGGCTATCTAATCAATGATGTCATTGGTCCGGCAGTGGAGTTCAAATTCCGAATTATTTCAGCGCGTCTGCTTTTATTTAAACTAACTGAGATAATATTCTATTGGACGCTATATGTCACGACGTTGCATCTTAATGCAACATGAGTATACATTTTTATTCAAGGTTTACCAGAATTTTCTTTGGATACATTAAACCTGAAATTTCTCTCTTATATCATGTTACAACTTTTACTCAAAGAAAGTATAATCATGTCAATGCATCCTTAAACAAGTAGATTATGTCAAACAACACTTAATAAAACTTTGCACAATTATTTCACCTGGTTTAGTAAGTTTAATACCAAAACTATTTATTCTAATCGTCCACTTTGCGTGTCATGATCAGATTAATAGGAGAGAAGATATGTCTATGTGCCCATTGTGCATTCTGTATTCCTTTTTTGTCTCCACTCTGCTTTCCAACGTTGTGCACGTATGTGCCGTAATGAAGCTGCTTTAGGCACAAACCTATTTACTGTTGTCAAATCCACAGCTTTACTATATATTCAGTCTAAATAAATTTAAAAAATCAGTATTTTACTCACATGTATATACTCTATGTCAATATTTTGTAGGTAGATAAAATAAAAAAGGCTAATAAAAACAAATATGTAGAAATGATGGGATTAGCCAGAAAATACTCTACAGATGCCAGACAAATAGATTCAGATGTAAATAGACAATTCCGAGAACATTTACATTATAGAGAAAGATATAGTATCAAACAGCAATCTTTATTTAATGTTCTAACAGCTTATGCTATGTATAATTCCGAAGTAGGTTATTGTCAAGGTATGTCAGGCATCGCAGGTGTTTTACTGATGTACATGGATGAAGAAGATGCTTTTTGGGCTGTGCATATCTTACTAACAAATCCCAAGTTTGCAATGCATGGGCTATATAAGGAGGGGTTTCCCAAATTAACTAGGTAAGTTTTTATTTTTTACCCTCATAGTTAAAGTTAGTTTTAGATCTACTTATTTATCGTATGGCACTTGACACATTTACATTTAAATTTACATATATTTTGTATAAAACATCAATACATCTAGGTTTGCAAACGAACATCTTATTTATATAGTTTATCGACTCTGGAGTCGCCATTAGGAAACCCTCTGACCTGCCTTGATAGGATCTTGTGGGACACTGTTCTGTAATGTGACATATCGTTTTGGGTTGTCCACAGTCACAGAGTGGGGATGGTCGTTTAACCCATTTGTGCATCATGTAGCCGCATCTGCCGTGTTGGCTTCTGATTCGTTCAGCATAGTCCATGTGTTTGCGTGGTAAGTCACAACTGTTAAGTTGAACTCATTTTCCACAGCAATCTGTGCTGTTTTTATTGGTGAGATGTGGCTTAGTACTGGGAGCCATTGCGTAGGGGTGGATTTGATAACACCAGTAATCATTTTCATTGTATTGTTCAATTGGGCATCTACTTTGTGTATATGTGGTTGTTAAGCCAGGCTGAAGAGCATATTCCGCGGTTGGGAAGACAAGGCCCAGAACAAATGATCGCAAGGTGGAAGCCGATGCTCCCAATATTGTGCCGCACAGCTTCTGGATGATATTGTTTCTGGATTTAAGTTTTTCCGCTGTTTTTGACAGCTTTTCCTTGAAAGATAGGGTTCTGTCAAGAGACACCACAAGGTACTTTGGTGTTTTATTGTAGGCGAGTAGTGTTAACTAAGGAAAAATCCTTAGCGAATTGTTTTTTCCAATTCCAATTGGTTTCAATTTTCTTTTTATTTCGATTTACTCTGTACGTGTACAAGAAACTAATTCGCTAAGGATTTTTGCTTAGTTGAGGAGATATGTCGTGGAATGCAACTTTTAGATTCCCCATGTCTCTAATAACATCTTTATCAACGTCTGTTTTGCTTTGCAATTCTTAGAAGGCACAGATTAAGAATAAAATCTGAATTTGGTTAAAAAATTATATGATTTTATATCGGATGGATATATCGAAAACGTATTTTATACATTGCGTTAAGTTTTTGATAGGTATTGCACACTATACGAGCGCATTAAAATCGGCAACGTTGCAATGTTCGTTTCTCCGACCCGAAAATCTACACCGACAGAAAATCATTTATTTTAGCTTTAGTAACTCACAACCACGTTAGGGATGTAACTTCTCTGACGTTCCGATCTCATGTTTCAATTACGTAAAAGCCGATTTTAATAGTAGGAAAATCGATAAAAATGCACTGACCAATCGGTGCCTTGTTTTATCAGATCTTTAATAATTGAAATTTTTTATAAGGTTGAATTATAAAAAAAGCCGTATTTCTTTAAAAAGATAAAATAAAAAATATACTCTTATGAAAATTAAATATTAATAATCAAATAAAAATAATTCTTTAGACCTACAGAAAATGTGTTCAAATAGTTGACCTTCTAAACGCTGAAAAGTTACCCCAATCTGTCATAAAAACTTCTGCGAACAGATGAAAGAGTATCTGTCTGTATCAGAATTGGAACTCACTTAATTCATTTTTAAATTCATCCAAATTTTGGGCTCTAGCCTCATATGAGCCGTAGATAAATGCTTTTTAAATGTTCCCCAAAAAAAAGAAGTCCATTGGTGTAAGATCAAAATCGCGCAGGTCACTTAAAATATCGCCCTGTTCCACTGTAACTTGATTCGGGAAAGTATTGTTTAATACTCCTAATAATTCGAGCGTTGTGAACTGAACAGCCGGCTTGATGAAACGAAACATTCCTCTCAGATTTCCATCAGGAAGATTGAGAATAGCGGAAGAACATAGATTCTGTAAGAAATATCGAGGTATACTTACACTACTATTCAAGATGCTTCAATAAAAAATGGACCTATTATTTGGACTCCAAAAATGCCAGTCCAGACGTTAACTTTTTTGAGGACGTTGAGGGTTCGGTAAACAACACTTCAGTGCTGGATTCCCGCGCTCAATACCTCGTAATGGAAGATTGTGTCTCCCTACTAACGAAATCAGAATATTCATCAGTGAATTAAATTTTTAATAAAATTTGGTTCACTTATTAGCCTTCGTTTATTAGAGGGTTTCACAATACTCCATTCTTCGAAAGTAATCGTCTGATAAAGCTGCTGCGTTTTCGAATATTTAAATTCTTGTAACCGTGCTTTTCTATACTTTTGCTAACAGTTGCTAACATCTAACTCTCTAGCAACGCTTCTACTTGAACGTGGAGAATCTACCTTCGTATTGTTGCACCAAATTTGTGTATCCCGTTAATTTCCTCTTTCCTCAACTTTTTCTGGTAACACTTCTCGAGCGTGAACATCTTCTTGCAATTTTTGAGGCAATAACAACACTCAAAAATTTTAACAATATTATAATTGACTGTACACAAGGAATTGATCTCCCTCAAAAAACACAGAAAATAAATCTACACACTGTTGCGCAGAATTGCACATCTAAACCATTTTATTATTTGAGCTTTTCCGCGGCCAAATAAACGAACATGTTTACAAAAATAAATAAAACTCTACGCTGTTATAACCTTTTAAACAACCACGTATAAAATGACAATATTGACAAATTTGCAGACGGGCACGAGCACGACGATGAAACGAAGGGGGGGGGGGGCATGAGTAGTTCAAGTCCGACGACTCGCAGTGTTGCCATTAATAGAGTGTATACCTAAACCAAAACTTAACGCACAGTATCAGATGTCCCTATTTGCGTCCATTCGAAGCCATGTTAGAGTTGCTTCCTAAGACATAATAGTTCTGAAGAGGCCTATTAGGCCTAAATACGTATAAGCGAATACCCAGGCGCACTATATACGTGAAATTAAATCTTAACTGTCTTTTCCTTAATAATAAAGTGTTCATTGAAAATGATATTTCTCCGAAAACGTTTGTACAACGTGTATGTTGTGAAAAGTGTTTTAATAATCTCAGACCAATCAAGCAAGAAAATTAAGACAAAATTATTGAAAATTCAGTCACAGAAAATTAGAAAAAAATAAAGAATGTATAAGTGTTTCCCCATATAAACTGTATAATGATAATTTATTTATATACTTTTATCTCTTTAAATTATTCATCCTATTTTAATATATTTTAGTTATTTTGTGGTTTACTTTTTTAATTAATTACTACATTAATTATTTTAGATTCTTAGCCCATCACGATAGGATATTAACCAAATTGTTACCGAAAATTAAAAAACATTTTGATAAACATGGTCTGGATGCTATTTTATACTCATTAAAATGGTTTTTTGTTTGTTTTATAGAACGGGTAAGTATCAACTTTAAATTGAATGATATATTGGAAGTATAGCTTTCTTATCGCGAGCGACGGAGGAAATGCATTGATCGATGCAATGAATCGCACAGAGGTGTGAAAAAATAAAGACAAAAGAAACGCAATGTAACGACAGATCGCGCGATCATAAACTACGTGGAGTAGCAAACGTAATCCCATGCGCGATTCTTAATAAACTAAAATAAAATTATCGAATCGAATGAAATTGAATTAAATTAAAAATCATCGATATGATAAGAAAGCTACGTTTTCTCTCCTCGGTCACCCCGGAGTGCCACATCCCGTTTTTTCTATTTTTATATTAATTGTTGACCGCAGGGTTTTTGGAGGATAAATTTTTAACGCCGTAATACATGCTGATACTTACTTACTTTCCGTCTCCGGAACACCAACAGCTTTAAATTTTGTGTTTTGTGGAACACCACACAGATGGCCCTGTCATTCGTTAAGAATAGGTCTTCTTTTGTGCAGATCTCTTTCATCTCTGTGCTTGATAGTAGATGGTGACTATTTCTGAAACCGCGCCACAGTCGCAGGTATCGTCCTTCTGGTATCACCATTTCTTCAGGTTACTACCACAGTCGTGAAACGCAAGTTCTTAGTCTATTTAGCGCTTTCCATGATGGGCAATGGTCCACGGCAATTGCCTCTGAGGGAGCAAAATGTGTTGTAGCTGACGCTTGCCATAGGTGTATTCGGCGTGTCTTGGCTTTTCGGAAAGCTTTTCCGAGATCCTAATCTACTTGGCTGAACTTGGTGGTCATACAAAGGGTGTCTTCGATCCGTCTCCTGCTTCTTTCGTTCTATCTCTGACGTGACCTGTCTTCTGATAGCAGGTCGAGCGATTCCAACTATAGGGTAGGCCTCTTCGATAGGTGTCGGTTTCAGGCAACCATATATTATACGAACCGTTTCATTTAACGCAACATCGACGTTTTTAGCCTGAGCAGAGTTTTTTCTCACTGGTGCTAAAACTCGACGGCAGAAAAACGTAATGCTAAGACAGAAGTACGGAGAGTGTGTGGTTGTGCTCCCCATTTTGTGTTTGGTAGTTTGCCGATGATATTATTTCTGGCGCTTACTTTTTTCTTGATATCTTGACAGTGATATCGATAAGACAGAGTTCTATCCAGACGTACGCCGAGGTATTTTGGCGTCTCATTGTGTTCCAGCATCTGACCACGCCATTCCACCTCCAGTGTCCTTCGGGCATGCTTGTTTCTAAGGTGGAAAGCACACACCTGGGTTTTTGTAGGATTGGGTTTCAGATGGTTTTCGTCATAGTATAGTGCTAAGTCTTCTAGGGCATCTGTCAGTTTTACTTCTACTTCATTGAAGGTACTTCCCTATCTGTATCTTCCCTAGCTGTATCATCGCGTAAATAAACTGTCTTGTTTGTTGGTTTTTGGGTTGGTGGTTGGTGTAAATGCTGTATAGCAATCGCGCGAGGACACTTCCCTGTGGGGTCCATTTTTTTGATCCCTCCACCGACCGTTCTTGGACTAGAACGTTACGTAGAAGCGTCTATTATGGAGAAGACATTTCATGAACCTTATTAGTCGGAAATCCTTTGTAATTTCGTAGAGTTTTACCAGCAGCCGTTGATGGTTAACTGTGTCATAGGCGGCAATCAGGTCTATGAACGCTACTCCTGTTATTTCTTTCTGTTCAAACCCATCTTCAATATGTTGGGTGAGATTAAGAGTTTGACTGCAGCAGCATTTTCCAGGTCTAAACCCTGCTTGTTCAGAAATAATTTTAGTGTCCACAGATTCAGCGATCCGGTTCAGTATCATTCTTTCGAACGCCTTGAAAAGGTGACACAAAAGAGAGACAGTTCTAAAACTCTTTGTATCCTCCGGATCCTTTCCTGGTTTTAAGAGGGTCACCACTCTAGCTTTCCTCCAGATTTTGGGGATTTGGAATGTACGACGCAACAGTTCATCATTTTTACGAGCCACTCTAGGGTTTTTGGTCCAAAGTGCTTTATTTGTTCTGTTCGTATATCGCCTAGGCCAGCCGCTTTATTATCTTTCATTTGTGGATCGCACCTCTCATCTCCTTCAGACAAAAGGAGGTACCTTTTCCTTGATGTCGTCTTACCATTTGTCAGAGACATGGCTATCTGATCGGGTGTGACTTTTGTCAGATTGACTGCTGGGGCGGCGGGGTTGTTGCCAAGATTCCGAATTAATTTCCAAGCACGTCTGCTGTTTTATTTCATGTCTAGACTCGTGACCAGCTTGCACCACCTCTCCGTTCTGTTGGCGGATATCGCATGTAGCACTTCCTCTATGGCCTGTATTGTTGCTTTCGAAAAGGGATCGTCGTCATATAGTTGCTCGTATCTTTCAAGTAGGGGTTTAGATTCTTCATTTAGCCCCGTTATGTATTCGGTTCGGCAACCTCTAGGAATATATTTTCGTAATATTTGTTTTACGGTTTGTACAAATTTATCGTATGAATCATAGCACGGTTCTAGCTGGGAAACTTTTGATCTAATGCTTCAGTGAATTTTTCCCATTTAGTGAAATTGAACCTTCTCTTGAAAGGAACAATTTCGTATCTGATTGCCGCGTTCAAAAAGCAAGTTATTGGTCTGTGTTGTGTTTTTGGGAGGTCGCTTTCCAACAATTTTGTCACCTGGTCTCCAATCCTGTCGCTGACAAATATATTGTCTGGGTTGTAACATCTCCGCCATCTTCCGGTGTTGAAAGACGCGGGTTCGTGTTTTGGATCATGAATAAGTTTGAGGTTCATGTTTTTCAGCCCAATTTTCTAGCTCTTCACCATTGGAGTCTGTTTCTGTATCTGGTCTGACGAATACTGCGCTACCATACTGGTCGTGTGGTCTCTCCAGTACAAGTCTCATACCTCGAATCCTTGGTCTGCCAATCAAAACCCAACAAAGAAAAGAGTTTAAGTACTTTAAGAAAGTAAATGTTTTGCAAAGGACAAGAAATGAAAGAATGCATTGAAAGGTCTGGGAACTTGAAGAAATATTTGAAAGAGTAAAAGTAGTAAAAAGTTGGTTGACAAAACAAACGAACGCGTAAAAACATTTGTATAAGTCTCCGGGAATCAGCTGTTGATAAAAAATAAAGACTGTTTTGTGCATATAATAAGAATGTAATAAAATTCTCCAAGGTGTGGCTCCTAACTCCTGCAACGATGTGCTTTAAAAATATGTTTTTTTTAATCTATGGTATTTGACTATTTTCGAGGTCAGCTGATCGAAAGAAGTCAAATAATCTTCTAAATGTGCCTATTTTCTAAAGATGTTGGTGATCACATTGACCTATCTTATTCTATTCACAGCGGCTCGAAATAGAGCAGTTGACGATTAGACCAGTTCATTTCCTAAGATTGGCCAGCCGGGATATACGTCTACGTCCATGGCCTCTCTTACCCTCAATCTTGCCCTGTAGAATCAACTGTAGAAGTCGGTATTTATCATTACGCATGATGTGGCCGAAGTAAGCCAATTTTCTGTTTTTTTATGGTGTTAATAATTTCTTTGTCTTTTCTTAGCCTCTGGAGAATAGTTATGTTACTTGTGTGGTGTATATATGAGACCCTCAACATACGTCGGTAGCACCACATTTCAAATGCCTCCAAGTACCATAGATTAAAAAAAATGTATCTCTACCTCGAAAGAGGTGGAGATCGAAATACGAGGATGTGACAGTCTGGCAACAAGGCTTTATTTTTGGAAAGGATAAACTTAAAATTATGAAATTTTGGGATACTAAATGGGATATACTATATTTTGCATGTTTTACAAGATAACTCAAGTTTCTGTGACGTCATAGTTTCCAGTATCGCCACCATCTTAAATTGTTTTAAATATCAACGTGGGTTAAGTGATATGTCAAAGTAAAGCTAATTTCATCTTTTTGTCATATGCCAAAATAAAGATGCGACACATTTTCTTAGATTTTATTGTGTTCAGTGATGAAGCCACATTCTGTTTAAATGGTTATGTGAACAGGCATAATTCTCGATACTGGTCAGATTATAATCCGCACTAGATGGAGGAGATTGTTACACAATATCCAGAAAAAATTAATGTCTGACTGGTTTGGTAAAAAACCATTTAATTGGTTCTTTTTTTATTGAAGGTACGCTGACCGGAGCCAAATATCTCGACTTTCTCCAAAATCAAATTATACCTGAAATCAACCGTTTGTTGTCAAACATTAATGTATACTTTTCAACAAGATGGTGCACCTCCATTATCAAATGGAGGTTAGGCAATATTTAAATACAATTTTACCTTAAAGGTGGTTTGGTCTAAGAGGTATGATAGAGTGACCGGCAAGATCACTCGATGTGACACCACTTGATTTTTTTTCTGTGGGGTTACTTAAAAAACCGAGTTTATATTAACAGACTAACTCAACCTAAATTATTTCAAAGATGGCATACGTTGTGAAATGCAGTTAATTACTGTAGAAATGATTAACAATTCTATTTGCAGCTTTCACGATAGATTGTATCATTGTCAACAAACCAATGGACAACACTTTGAGCAGATCCTCTAAAGAAAAAATTGTAATTTAGTTCAATTGTATACTAGTGTTATGAGTTGTAAAATACCACGTGTATAAAATTACATTTTTAATATTTTTAACAAAGTTTCTTCAATTATTTCATTAATGATTTATTATTGCGTAAGTATCATTTTTAAAAAGTGGATGAAATAAGCTTTTCTTTGACATATCACATCATATTATTTGACCAACTTTGAAATGATCTTCCTGAAGCAATTTTTTTTTCACATTTATATATTTAACGATGTTTCATGATCTTGCTCACATTGACTTGACTGTTTAGGTTCCGTTTAATCTATGCCTACGAATATGGGATATTTATTTATTGGATGGCGAGAGAGTAATAACTGCGATGGCCTACACAATACTCAAACTACATAAAAGGCCCTTACTCAAACTGTCGGATATGGACTCAATTGTAAATTATATTCAGGTAAGTTATGATTTTTCAATTTGGTATAGGGTTTTATGTAAGTCGTAAATGCGGCAACACCGATGAGAGTACCTTCAACTTTCAGCGATTCAAATTAAAGCTTCGCTGAGAATTGCAACGCGACATAAAGCAACTCAGAAGCGTTACTAACGATTTATTTGTATTTAGAACTTATTAATTAGAAATTTAAGAACTTACTTTTTGTTTTTTTTTGTAACCTAGTTCATCATTTATATTCGGTTGTCTTTAGCGGTTGTGTCAAAAAATTTGTTTTAATTCTAATATGATATTAATATTTACATTCTATTTTAGGTTAAATTGTACAAAGACTTTCAATACGACGAAGACTCAGTGATCCGCCATCTCGAAACGTCTATGGAGGAACTAAAGAGACACAAACTCGACCTCCCTGGTCCTCCTACCAAAGACGAACTGCCGGGAGGCGAATTCGGTTTATTTAAACCGCCTACATTCGAACAAATAGTTGGAATACGAAAAGATCAATTTACCAACGAAGAGAAACAAATGAACGAAATAGTTTTGTTGACCAGTGAGGCGGCTAAGGAGGCTGTGGACAAGGACGTGGACTGTCAGCTGTCAGTTGCCGATTCGGTCGGATTTACAGGTACCGATACCGAAAATACTAGTACACTCGGTAGTAGCACTTCGTTGGCTAGCAATAGTAAGACTAGTGTGACCAATAGCGTTGATAGTAGCATCGATGAATGCACAAGGCTTTGATATATGATTTTGAAGGCTAGGGGTCAAATTGAATTCTTTTAAAAACATACCTACCTAACACGTTTGGAATTTTGAAGTTTTAAATTTGATATTGATTTAATGTTCCTAATTGATTTCCTTATTGATATTTTTCCAGATTTTTTCTGAAATATATCTATAATTATATATAATATATATAATATAATATATATATATTTATTAATGGATTCTGGGCTTAGGTTCATAAAAAAAATTTAGTTGATACTACTCATTTTTATATATTTTATCTGACGTTTCGGCAGGAATCAGCCTTTATCAGTATATATATTGACAGCTGTAAAGATTCGTATTACTAATAGACGTCACATTTAAATCATATTAAAACATAGGCAACCCACTAGTACTCAAGTAAAAATGTTCTGTTAAAATCAAAGATTTACTTGTAGTCGACTTCGTGGGTAATGTCCTAGTTTTAATATTATGTCAAATGGACATATTGTTCGTCTTTTGAACCATTCTCATATAAAGTCTTTAAAACAGCTCCTTTTTCATCCATCGTAAGCTTTAACATGCATTTATTTTTACATCTGAAAGGTGAGGTGACTCACTTTAAATAATTGGGGTTCAATTAAATACATGCTGGCATATCTAGAAGTTTTTTTGTTGTATTGGTACAACTTTTTGATGTGTTTATGAAACCAAACCTTCTGCCCGATAATAAGAATAAACATAAGCTTAGGAATATTTACATTTTCTGTCGAATGTCAAAAGTACCCTAATTTAAAGTGTTTTTTCTCTACAAACCATTATTATTAAAAACTAATATACTTACGTGCAGTCTGCTTTGTTAACTACTTTTCCAGTTGCAGTTGTGTATTGAAGTCCAAGAAGACGAGCATTCTTTCTTTCATTTTTCTTCCAAGTTTCTGGACTTCTTCTTCATTTCCTCTTATTTTGTAGTCCCTCCGTATCGAGTTTTCACTGCTAGACATTTTAAATTTTTCAAATATTGATTAAACCTTAAATTATCACAAGCTGCTTACACTGCAACGATCAAGTCTAAATACTGAATAATAATAATCAGGTGACTGCAGCCGATGATGCACGATACGCAATATTGAGTGGAAGAACGGTAGGAGTTGTATCGTTATTCCACTCAATGCCAAATTGTACCTCGATTTTAAAGCGTATACTTAACGGATATTGTACGGTTCTCTGACTCAGCAGAGAGATCGATAGTTAAAAAGCAATTTGGCTATCTTCGCTTGAAATGTCAATTTTTGGAGTTATATTGTTTTTCCACTCACCGATTCAATTATTCTTATCATGGCAATTTAAAGCAATTGAAGATCCTTTTCTATTGTACTTCTACGCTCTTAATTTTTACTTCTTTGTTGATAGTTCATTCGGTTCATTCTACAGAAAATGTCCATAGATATCTAGCTGACATAGATAGATAAATTATGTGAGGTTGTTAAGGCCATGCGGCCTCACCGCACTTCGACCTATAGAGATCTTTTGTGCATACCTTAATCTAGTTAAACTCTAGAATGCCAATACTTCTGATGAAGTTGATTAGCTTCCTAGGTGACTTGTTTCCTATGTCAGAGGACGCCAGACTGACCTCTCCTAGGAATTTTAGTCGTTTGCAGAACAGTGCTACGCAGTTGCATAGTATATGTTCTGCCGTTTCTTTTTCATTGTGACAGAAACGACAGTTCTCACTATCTGATTTGCCCACCTTCTTGAGATGATATCTCAGAGGGCAGTGACCAGTGAGAAGGCCAGTAACCATTTTGATATTTTTTACTCATTTCGAGAAGGCGGTTTGTTGCAGTAGGCGACACTTTTATGAGCCTTTTTGCTTGCCTTTGTCCTGGTGTGTTAGACCAATATGATCTTAGTTGATTGAGTTCCCAGGTACGGAGTTCCTCTCTGATGTGGCTTTTCGATAGTCCACAGAAGGGTTCCGGACCCTGGAATGGGGTATTAGCTCCTTCTTTTGCGAGGCTGTCAGCTTCCTCATTTCCTGCAATTCCCTTGTGACCTGGCATCCACATCACAGTTACATTGTTGCGTTCCGCCAGCTTCTTGAGAGATTGTTTACAGTCCCAAACCAACTTTGACTCACATGTAAATGACTTTAGAGCCTTTAAGGCGGCTTGGCTGTCTGATAAAATAAAGACTTTTGCCCTACGGGTGTCTCGGTTGAGACATTCTTGGGCACTTATGTCTATAGCATGTATTTCTGCCTGGAAGATAGTTGGGGCGTTTCCAAGAGATTTAGATAGCCTGAAATTGGGCCCAGTAACTCCCCCTCCTGCCTTTCATCTATCTTAGATCCATCCGTATACCATACGAGTGAACCTTCTTCCACTTTTGGTTCAATTTCTTCACCCATTGGTGGTTTTTTATGACCACTTCAAAGGGTGTTTCAAAGTCGAATTTGACTGGCATAGCATCTGTCGGCATGTCCTTAGAATCCAGTGGAATTTCTTCTAAGATTTTCAGGTGGCCAACTAGATCTCCAGGTTTCATTATTTGTGTCTGTCGCAGTTTTAAGGCGGTAGTTACTGCCTCCCTCCTTATGCAGAACTGCAAGGGAGGAAGGTTCAGCATCGCCTCTAGAGCTGCAGTGGGACATTTTGACATTGCCCCTGTGATTCCCAGACAAGCTAGCCGCTGCACTTTTTGCAGCTTGGCGTTAGCTGTTGTTTGTTGTGTTTTTGGCCATCATACGAATGATGCGTATGTGACCATGGGCCTAATTATTGTTTTATATGACCAGAGAGTCATTTTCGGTTATATACCCCAAGTCTTTCCAAACGTCTTGCGGCAGGTCCAACTTGTCACCAAAGCTCTGGATAAAATTTCTTGACAGGTGAGTTTTTGATTTAGGGTTACCCCCAGATATTTTACTTCCTTGGAATAGTCTAATGTAATGCCATTCATAGTTGGAGCCTGTAAATTGTATTTACGTCTTACATCTAGCTGACATACTGCGAAATTTAAATATTTCTCATAAAATTCTACTACAATTTTTATATAAAATTATTTATGATGATACTTATGCCTACATATTAAGTATAAATGTAAATTTTTGCTGATAAAATTGATTAAGAAAAACAAATTTGGATACAACATTTACATTCAAACTTTTTTCTTGTTCGCTAATAATATAGTGACTCAATTTTTTTTGGTTTAGTATCGATATTCCATTATACTGTGGTTTTATCGTTAATAAAATGGCCCCTTCTGCCTGGAAACTATTAAAACAAAGTTAATCTTGATCTTGAGTGGTATTATTTCATAATACCACCTACTAATTTATTTATAATGCTTCAAAAAGTTTCTATAATGAATACAATCATTCAATTTTATCTCTAGTCTTCACAACTTTCTGTTTTTATGACACAATTTTTTTTGTTAATGATGAATCTTTTTAAGTTCACGGCCTGGTCAAGTTTATTTGAAAATTGATTGATTATTTATGGAAAGTGCGCAATCTACAATAAATTATTTAATGGAATTTATAAAACATATTCTTTTTGTATTAATCAAGTTAATTTTATTCGACGAGCTAATGAAAATCTCCATAGTGAAAGATAAGAAAATGCTCACAGTCGTTTTAATGTTTATTTAAATGGTCATGACAGACTTATATTTTTTTCACCTTTCGTTTTCGAGTTAATTAGGCGGGTCTGAATTATTTCTTTCTTTTCTGACGTTTTCGTCACGGCAACAAACGTTCGAAATTGTCTCCCCACGACGAATGAACTAATCAAGCTATATAATAGTATTGGATGGATATAGTTCAGTATATTATAACACATCTGAAACATTCTAAGTGTACACCTACCATTGGAACCGTATTTCTCCCGATCCGCTATCGGGCGACGTCGGATGAAAATTATCACCGTGTTCGATAGTTGCCTTGTATACCCTCAAAGTTTTATTTTTTCACCTTTGTTTTCGGTGTTTATAGGCGTGGTCTGGAATTATTTCTTTCTGACGTTTCGTCACGGCAACAACGGTCCTAATTGTCTCCCAATGACGAATGTAGCGAATGAACTAACCAAGCTATATAATAGTTGGATGGATATAGTTCTTTATATTAACACATCTGAAAACATTCTTAATCGGGGGTCTCAGAGACGATATTATTAATTATTTGACATATGGAATGTCAGTTATAATATATTACAAGTTAGGAGACATTACTTGTCAACGTATTATAAAGGGATATCAAGAGAAGATACCTGTTCTATTATTTGTTCCTTGCCATACAAATGTACGTTTATTGGTATCAGTGAAAATACTAGAATTTTAGTATTGGAAACATTTTGATTTAAACCGAACACTTGAAGATGACTAACTACCGAATTTATTATATTTTGTAGTTCTTGTGCGTTGTTTGCTGTGAGGACGGTATCATCAACGTTCGTGATGTCCATACTGGTTCCGTTAATCTTGATTCCACCTTGGACCTCGTCATCTAATGCTTCTTTGAATATAGATTCCGAATACATATTAAATAATAGCGGTGATAAGATGCAACCCTGTCGTACTCCTCGTCGGATTCTGTATATCTTCAGATAATTACTATTTTAATGGGAATAAGCATAATTGAAAGTAAAATAAGTTATTGACGTTTATGAAACGTCAATAAACGTATTTTAACCTTTAACTGTGGCTTATTCTCATTAAAATAGTAATTACCTTAAAATGCCACAAGAAAATAGCTTCAGAACAATATATCTTCAGATGTTGTATGCTCTATTTCAATTGCTGCCGTTTGGTGCGAATATGGTTCTGAGATAATTCACAAGTCTTGTTCGTCAATTCCAGTTGTTCTCAAAATTTCAATCATCTTTTGATGGTTAACTCAGTCGAATGCTTTTCGATAATCAATAAAACATGCATATACATCGACGTTTAGTCTCTGAATGGTTGTGTTACACATGTAAGGCAAAAAGAGCTCTCGTGTTCCCAATCCATGTCGAAATCCAAATTAAGTGTCA